GTCTGTTTGTGATGCTCCGTCACCCGTGTCGCCACAGCTGTCCGTTCTCACGGCGCACTGCATAGAGAAGGCGCCAGAGGACCAGCTCGGCATCCTGCCGGGACTCTGTCGGCGTCGGCGGCGTCTGAAGACGTTCGTGGCGCGGTACAGACGATCAGTCTCCGATCTCGATCTGGCCCGCGGCTCCCGGAGGGACCGTCCGAGCCGTGAACGACCGACAGGTCTACCGATAGCACATCGGAGATCGATCCCGACATAAATTCTACTCCAAAGGAAACTGGAGGACCAAAGTACCTCAGGCTCCTGTTCGATTTTCATCCATGTGACGAAAAGTTTCGTCCATCACCATGTGATGTTTTCTGTCTCGTCCCTTCCCCTCGCTCCCTTGCCGATCTCTTGTAGCTCTCACGCGTCTGTAAAAACCATGGCGTTGGTAACTAGCTCGTCGCGGCCGATCATGGCTGAATGGATCTCTGCGACCAGTTCAGCCACCGATCTAAGCCCTATGAGAAGTCGGCTAGTTTTTGCGGCGTGTTCTTGTATGGTACCGCTGCGGTTCGCGCTACAAATTGGCGTGATTATGTCAGAGGCCGGATTCCACGGGGCCGGAAAATCGGCCGGTACCGGAGCGGTCTTTCGTCGACCATTCTCCGCCGGTGGTCCGGTCGGCCCGTCGGCTCGCGCTCTGCGTCGGTCCAAGGTCACGCACGCTCCGACGGCTGCGTCGTCAGGTGCCTCTGGCTCATTATACATCAGACGTCGTGCCGACTAATCAACACTATATCAAAGTGTTGGAGAGGAATTTAGGCCAATCTGCGAGCCGCCGGATGAGAGCGTCGTGAAATGGCCCGGATACCATCGTGGCAGAGGTCAGTCAGAGCCAGGTCGATCAAGGCGTTTTAGTGCATATTGGACTGACATGCGGTGTGCGTGATTCCTGTGGGGAGTAAACCCTTGATGAGGCATCCTGCTTCACACGATTATGTGGCTCTTGTAAGTGACAAAAACCTAACAAACGTGTCTGGCAGGCCTGTATTGTTATCTTATCCTCAGTGTTATGTTTTACGTTCTGGCTCTGAATCATCAAATAATTGCAAACAATAATCTTTTTCGCTGTTTGTATGAGCATGCGAATCATTATGCATATTGTGCTCACCTAAACGAAATTATTACCAATACCCTTACTCTTTCTGTCAAAAATGATAGCTCATGCCAGATGCCAGCAAACGGACGGCGAAATCTGCAAAATGTAGACGGTCTGTTGAAGTCATTCAACAAATCTGAAGTTAGCATGGTAACCCGTGGACTTTGGAGTTTCATCGCATGTTTAGATGGCAGGAGCTCCAAATATGCCATGCCAGCGCTTTGTAACCGACCGTAATTTCAAGAATGTCGATCGAGCAGAGCAAACGAATGTGCAGGTTGCACACCAACACAGTGGCGATCTTTTCATACAAACAGCTGCCTTTGACTTTCGCTACCAATTGCTTGAATTTTATCAAGTCTCCTGTTGATTATGCCGGTTAATTGCTGTTCATTGTTACGGTGACTTTTTCATAGCAATTCGAACTTACGGTCTGTCTCAGTCTGGTCTCAATGGCACTTTGACTTCGACGAATGCGTGTCATTAGTCGACCTTGTTTCCAACTATATTTGCTGATTCATGCATTAACAGTCCTTTGTGTGAAATTGAAAGGTCCAACACACTATATTAGTCAAGATAACAAGCCAGTCACTTAACGAGTGCTGTTTGGCAGAACCTTTGCGCTCCTGCTCTGGATCCAATTAAGGTTTTCAGTAGCGGAGAATAAGTTGTAAAGTTGTTGATGAACTTTTGTTCTCATAGTTTTGGAACTGGAGACGGCAGTAAAAGTTTATTCAATGGAAAATAAGTGATTGCATGTGGGTATTGATTTAGACCTACACGATTCCGCAGACGGCATGCTTCAGGAAATCAATCATCAATATGTAAGCTCCTTCTGCCGTAAGCCGCCGGAATCCGACCGATCTCACGCCCTTATCGCATGGGCAGAGCCATGGATCAATCCTACCGCCCCACTGATTGACCAGATTGCCTCAGCTGTGGGAAGGGCACGAAACTCGAGAACTGACAGCCAATTTCAGTCGATCGGCCGATCGCCAATAGGTACAGCGGTGGCGCCAGAACGCAGCCCTGCATGCGCCCATCGACAGGCGGACTCTGTGTGTCAGACCTGGCCCCGAGCGAGACAGATCGCCGGTGTGTGTTTCACGGATATCGGAGGAGTGACAGCAAATAGGATCGAGCATCTTGGCCTGGCTGTTCGGCCTTGGTAGTCGCATATATCGCCACCACAACGATGGATGGGTATCGGAACTCGTCAGGTTGCGACACTGGCTGCGAAGCCCCGTCGCTCGCAGCCCGGAGATTGGTGGAATTTCGTTTGGGTAATCAGTTGAGCAGTTTGTCACATTGCCTCATCGTTAGATGCTATGCAGAATGCAGTGTCGCCCACAAATACAAACGGACCAAGCATGCAGTCAAACCAGCTTGTGATAGAATGCATTATTTCAAGTGATTTAGATCTTGCGACTAGCTCTCCACAACTGTGTTGACCAGCAATTTGGCAACATTGCCACTCAAAGGCGCTTTATCGCGGTGGAGACGCGGGGCTTGGAGAGGAATAATGCGATTCACTAAAAACTCTGGACCGTGTTAAACAGATTTACATAAAGATTATCTTATACAATGTCACTGCAATCAACATTTTGATTAACAGTTGACACTTTAACTCCTGAGCTGGCACACTGCGCTGAATTGCAGCAGCATTGTGCATTTGCCCAACACTCAACAATCCCAGAAAGTCTCCTATGCACCCAATCAATAAACGTCATCACAGGATAAAAATTCCTGCTCTTAGGACTACCATAAGAAGGTAACTCCGCACTAAGTCGTATTCGGTCGTCGTGGATTCACTAGCTTTGGCTGTTACTCCACCGCAGCAGGGGAGCGACTTTTATGAGCTCAGCATAGATAAACGCATCACTCCTGTTTTCGGGAGTGGTTCAGAGAATCACTCCACTATGTTCAGATTGTGAAACCTGTCGTGTTCCGAGCGCCATTTGCATAATTCATGCATGTGTGTCATGTGTGCGGCCCTCAGTCATGTGCATGCTCGTACTCTGAGATGCGCTAACTGCGCCTCAGGGACTGCTCCTGACACACAGCACGTGCCCACGCAAGTTATGACGGAAGTTGCTGCTGGAAAAGATATTTTGTTTGTAAAGACAACTAATGCGGTTACTTCTAGAATTAAAAGCACATCGATCATTGGTGCAGTCAAGGCCATATATAGTGGTGCAGTGATCGATGCAATCATCAGTGCAATCACTGGTGCACTGGAAGATCAGTTGTGGACGATTTGCACATACCTAGCAAAAAAAAAACTCCGCAAAAACTGTAATGGGCATTGGGCATAATCACTTTGGAAATAAATATCACGAAATGTTTGTCTTGAGTTTATAAACAATGCATTATGACCTCATCACAGTTGCGGCATCAGTGCCACGTCCAGGGCGTAGCTATATGCTTATCGTCACGGATGACAAACTTACAGTCAACTTACAGTAGACCATTTGCACGTCGCCACAAAACTCCGCAAAACCTAGCATGAGCATAACTTGGGAATAAAAATAACGAAATGCTTGCCTCGAGTTTGTAAGCAACGCATTGTTGCCTCATCACTGTTTCGGCATCACTGTCACGTTCCGGGCTGATAACATGCTTTTGCTTACTTATGGTCACACTCACGGATGACAAACTTACAGTTGCGGGCTCAGAAATCACTGCCAATGTCACGGTCAAAGTCTCATGTTCACGGTCTGACGGTTTCACAGCCACAGACTCAAAGTTACGGTCTCACCAGTCTCTTGCAGTCACTGTCATTGTGATCACACAGTCAGATTCCCAGTCGCCATTACGAACTGACTGGAGATACAGACACTGCTATGAGCCGTCGTCTATGAAGTCGCATGAAGCTGTCGCCTCTGCGCCACGACGCTGCTAAGTATGCATTGCGACTCACGACACAACTCACATTCCTATACGGATGTCATTCATGTGCCCGACTTCACACGCTGATTGGCAAAGCCTCGCTCGTGTCATGGGAAATAAGCACCCTATGCAATGCGGCAGCTGTCTAGGTGATGGAGCGAAAACCGATTCCGTCTGATCCATACCTAAACTCCAGGAATCGCTCGTGAAGCTGGGCCAGCCCATGCACTACGAGCGTCTGGATTATCACACTACAAAATAAGTGTCAATATCTGACATTCTACAGACCTATCCTACAGTCTAGTTGCATGTACGGATGAATAAATCTCTGCATAATACATGTTCAGATTGACTGTCGATTTCGTCAGATAAGTTTTGATCGTGCACGAACTTAATGCATAATTTTCTTTTTCAGAGTAACAGCCTCATATCCTGCGATCCTGCACTAACCCCGTTCTTCTTTCGCCACCTTCTGCCAACAGCCCTGAGATCTCACATCTGAGTTCTGAGTTCTGAGTGCCTGCTCCATCAGTGGGGAGAGCCGATCCGACTCCGGCTGATAAAAATTCTCCGGCCGCCGCGGAGCCCCATCGAACCGCACGAAATCCGGCCACACTATGGGCAGAGGCGCCCAATGAACCCGACCGTGAGGCTTAACTTTATTTCACAATTTTCCGGGGTGAGACCGCAGAAGTCGACTCCGTCCGGGAGCTAACCACCCTAACCACCTAGGAAGCTGCCAGGTCACGAGTGAACGATTTTTTAGCGTCCCGCTCAGGTATATCTAGCCGTATTTGGGGTTGACCTCTTCAGAGGCACGCCATCACTAACGCTGTTTAGCCGCCATCTGACAGCATCTCTGGTGATTTGTTTCCCTCAGCAGGACGTCAAAACGAGTTTCACGGCGGTTCTGTCTGCTGTCAGCCGGGGTCTGCCTCCACCCCTGCTTTCTTTCTTTCTTGCCAGCTTAGGCCGGGTCCCGTGGGGCCCGGCCCGTCTCCACCAGGAAGTCTACGATGAGGTCGGCTTCGGTGGAGAATATCTCCCCCAGCGTCGGCAGGGGGCCCCACCGGCGGGTCCGAGGCCCCTGGTGTGCGGGGCAGTCCATCAGCAGGTGCGGGACCGAGTCCGGCTCGCCGCAGTCGACGCACGCGTCGGACTCGGCCAGCCCGAGTCGGTGCCGGGTGTCTCCTGTCAGGGGCGAACATCCCACCCGGAGCTGCGCCACGGTTACCGACGCTCGGCGGTCCAGTCCGTCGTGCCCGGGCGTCGGGTCGGGGTGCGGGTGGCTGCGTCTGGCGCGCGCATCACACATCGCCCGCGCCCGGCGGGCCACCGCGGCTCTCGCCGACCACAGGTCCACGGGGATCTGGTCCTGTCTGCGCGAGCTCCCGATCGCTGCCAGACGGTCCGCCTCCTCGTTCTCCGGCAGGCCCGCGTGGCCGGGCACCCACTGCAAGTGGAGTCTGTGGCCTGAACGAGTTATGGTGTCTAGCAGGTCCCTGATCTCCGCTACCAGAGCCGACTGGGAGTCCGCCGTGTCTTGTAGCGACTGGATGGCTGCGCGCGAGTCGCAGCAGAGGAGGAGCATACCCGGCCGGTCAGGCAGATCGCCCGCGGCCTCGGCCAGCGCCTCGCGGATGGCCACGAGTTCGGCCCGGGTGCTGCTGCATACCTTCCCGGCCGCTACCGTTAGCTGAACGGTGCGGGACTCCTGGTGGAAGATCAGCAGGGCTCCCCCTCCGCCATCGTGCGTGCCGCCCCCAGCCGACCCGTCGGTCCAGATGGACACGTCGGGCTGCGGGAGAGACGCCAGCGTCGTCTCCGCTGCAGCTCTTCTCGCTTCCGGTGGGTCTGTGCGCGAGGTGGGCACCGTCAGAGAGGTCGATGTAGTCAGACTTGTGGAGTCCGGTAGAAGGACAGGCGGTGTCAGGGCCAGCGGCTCCGCTGGGAGCTCCGCTAGGCCCGCCTCGCTCGCCATCCAGGCAGCAACTCGCCGCACGCAGGGTTTTGCATCCAGCACGACGTCCTCATCGCACGGCAGGGGAGGGCCGGAGTTTGTGCCGGCTTGCTGAACCTCTCGAATCCAGGCTTCATGGGCTCTGTACTTCAGTCTCGGTGGGACCTCCCGATCGATCACCTCCTTTGCCGGGTCGTCGGGAGGGAGCCTCTTCAGTCTCTGGGCTTCGTTCGAGGAGAGTTTCTTGGCTCGTACCGTGAGGGGTTCCAGCTGTGCCTCGGCGAGCAGTGCGTCTCGTCTGGTCGGGCGGATGCAGCCCGTGATGATACGGGCGCATGCGTTTTGCTCCGCTTCCAGGGCTTGTCTAGAGGCCGGGGCGGCATGGGTCATGTAGACTGCCGCACCGTAGTCCGCCAGAGACCTAATATAACCTATATAGGCTGCTCGGAGTGTGCGGCGGCTGCAGCCGTAGCTGCGTCCGGCGAGGGCGGCTAGGCAGTTTCTGCGTCTGGCCATCGACTTCTTCAGTTGCTTGATGTGCTCACTGAAGGTGAGGCCGCCGTCCATCTTGAGTCCCAGAAAGGTTGGGTAGGTGACATGGTTGACAGGTCGGTTCTGGAGACTCAGCTTGAGGTGTACCTTTCCTCCGGCTTCGCGAGGGTCCAGAGAGAACGGGGTGGCCGAGCACTTCGATGCCGACAGCTGCACTTTCCACCGAGTACACCAGTCGGAGATTTCGTCCAGTGCTGGCTGGAGGGTCGCCTCGCACTGCGACAACTTCCGTTCGGTGGCCCACAGGGCCACATCATCCGCGTACACAGAGATGTGTACTCCGGGTGGGGCCCGCGGGAGGATGTCGCTGGCGTAGATGTTCCAGAGCAGGGGGGCCAGCACGGAGCCCTGGGCCAGACCCTGGGGGAACAGGCGGCTGTCCGAGAAGGATGTCTCCCACCGCACCCGTCCCCGTCTGTCGCGGAGTGTGGCCATGATCCACCTGGTTACACAAGCGGGCGTACCCAGACGGGCCAGCTTGGCGGCCAGTCCTGCGTGCCACACGCGGTCATAGGCACGCTGGAAGTCCAGCAGCACCAGGGCGGATCGGTTGGGGCTCTTGGCCTCGAAGCCGTCGAAGATGCTTTGAGTCATCTTGATCAGTTGGTCGTTAGTGTTGTGCCCCTTGCGGAAGCCGGCTTGGTTAGGGTCCATCTTGTGGTGGGCTTCCAGCCACGCTTGGAGTCGCCGTTGGGCCAGTCGCTCCGCGAGTTTCCCGATGCAGGAGAGCAGGGAGACGGGCCGGTAGCTGCCGGGGGCGCTGGCGGGCTTCCCCTTCTTGAGGATTGGTACGATAGTGGCTCGCCTCCAGGCTGCTGGGGTTTCGCCGGAGCGCCATGACGTGTTCAGGAGGTGGAGTAGCACCCTCTCCGCCGTCGGGCCCAGTTGTCTCAGCATCTCGTTGGACACCTCGTCCTGGCCGGGAGCGCTGCCTAGCTTCAGCTTGCCTATGGCGTTCTGTAGCTCTCTCCTGGAGAAAGGGGAGCACAGTCCTGTCTTCAGACCATTGCATTGGCAGGGGCCGGTGGCGCGTCTAGCCTCTTTGTTGATTTGTCGGTCAGCGTGTTTGTCCAGTTTGATCCGGGAGACCGCGGCGTATTCCTTGATGAAGAGGTTCGCCTTTTGTTTGTCGGTAACGGCTGGGCCCGAGGGCGGGGTTGGGCCCCTCTGCTCTCGTTGGATGGACTCCTTAGGCTTGGGGATCCGTCTTCCGTCTAGGTTTCGAATGAATGATTTGTCATATCCACCCCTGCTCCTTCCCTCCCCCCCCCCACACGACCCCGACCCGCACCAGACACATTAGCAGAGCAAACGACCACATTGACCGAGTTTCGAGGGCTGTTGGTTTCCGCCACCTGTTCGTGTTTTTGTGGGCGAGGTCACCTATCGGATATCACTGACAGGCGACCGCTCTGTCAGCTTTGGCGAGTCGCTGGCTTGTGGGGTTGAAGAGTGCGTAATTTTGGATCGTGTTGCAGGCCAGATTACAAAGGTCAAAGTCATGTAGCTGAAGGAAGTGTGGTTTGGTATGCATCACGCAGTTGCTGCTCCACTTATGGCTCAGCTCACTGTTGACTGTTTTATGCACTGCTGTCCACAGTAAACAATGAGTTCACATGAAGCACCGTCGTAGACACTAGCTTCTACCATCATATTTGGTTCGGTCAATCAGGGGAACAGTTCTCCACAATGGCAGCTTATCTCTAGTCGCACAGATCAAAGTGACAGAATGCCCACCCCCAAGCTCGGAACTGTATCTGGTGAAGGGCTATATAACTATGCTTGACAAGAATGAGTAATGTCAGCTGACATGGCGCATCAATAGAAGGAGGGCGTGAGCTTTGTCGTGTTAGTCTGAAAACAGTGGAACAGTGGTGTGCCGAAGTTGAGCGATGTCCATCCACGCATCAAAGACGTGTCGTGCCGACCGGGGCAGTCGCCGTGACCTCCTGCTGAGACCGGCGGCGGGGGAAGGCATTGTGGGGCGATCCTGATGCATCGCCCGTCACATCTTGCGTCTCGCTGCATTATATAGCTGTCTGCAGGGCATTGGAAGTGTAAAGGAGGCCCCTATTTGGCGTGGGCGCACGTTGAATGCCTGGAAAAATATGTGCTACCTTGTGATTTTTTTTTGCTGCGAGCCCATATTTGTCATATTCATAATATGACAAATTCATATCCATTTTACAGGTATTTTGTAACATAAGTTTTATCTGAGCTGACACAGATTTACTTATGATAGCTTCTATTTTTCATTATTTCGATTATTCGAGAATTTTGAATGCATGTTTATGTTTGTTTTTTTAACGACTAACGTTGTACTGCTGCTTCCCATCTCTCAAAGCCATTGCCATTATATTTGATGTTTCGGATCAAGCTTTACATACATGCATTGTCAGCTGGCTGGTTACGACAGTTCATAACTTTCCCTGCTCGTGATATACCTAGCTGCATGACAACGTCACGAACTACAAGCTGCAGGTGAACGAACGAATCGGAATGTTTGCTCGCTCACGTGTGCCATGTTTTATGCACGAACTATTCACGATTATTCCATTCACCCCATTCAGACGGTAGGTAATCCATTTATTGCGTTCCATTTCACCAAAATGACAACGCTCGCTCGAATCGTGGCACTTTCCCCAAGCATTCTCCGTAAACGTATCATATGTAACCCCTCAGCGAATTGCCTTTACCAAAACGGATTTCGGCAGCTTGTTGCTGACTGGCGGCAATCCTCAATTCAATTTCTGTTACGACTTCAATAAAACGCTGCAAACGTTGCTGGATTTTCCAGCGGCTCTGGCGCTGACACGATCCCAACACTTTAGCGATGACGACTCAGCACCGCGCTTCTCACGGCAGAGCGACCACAGCCAACGCCCGTCGTGACAGTATCGCACCGTTCGCGTTGAATGGCGCTGAGCGCTGCGCTGGCTTCGGCTGCCGGTGGGCGGCGCTGTTGACGGTGGGGTAGGCTGGGAGGGAGGCGAGGGGAGGGAAAGCGCCCGGTTCGGCCGCGGCCCCACGTGCGTCGACCGAGAGTCGTGGAGCGACGGTGGTGCGGACTGGTGCGGAGCGGCGTGCGGACGGACTCGCGGGCGGTGCGGAGTAACTCGAGTGGTGGTGTGTGGTGATGGTAGTGGTGGTGGTGTGAAGCAGTTGAGACAGTTGCGGGAACTTGGGTGGTGCTGAAAGGAGGCGGGATTTCGTCAGTGTAGACCAGGCACGTTGACGTATGGCGGATGATACGCGGAAGTCAGATCGACAGATCCCCAAAGACGCCTGTTCCGTTGACATGATAAATAGTGCTGATGTCGATTGCCTTGTTGCATCACTTGGATTTCCATGCATAATTCTGCAATGCAGCCTTGCGCCACTGCTGTTGATTTGTTAACCATTTGTCTTTCCACAGATCGTTGGCATAATTTATTATCGAGTCACTGCACCTCTCGAATGCAATCGATTCAAAAACAGGAAGCCAATTCCATGCTTGTGCTCAGTGTCGCACATTATATCTCGTTATCAGCTGCGATCATCGTCATCAACCTAACACACGTCTCTTTTTCCAGGTTCTGCTGCGTTTGAACACGACATAAAAGCAGCTGCCGCCAGTTTCTTCCTCAAGGGAGTTGCCGATCAAACGGTGCCGCGTGACCGCGAGCCCCCGGGGTCAGCTGTGAGGTGACCTTTGACGACCTTTGGTGCGACGCTGTCCTACGGGAGGTCAGCGGTGTCCGCCGTACGCAGCAGGCGGCTCTCGGCTCCCCAAAGTAGTGCTACCAGTGAACAGTCGTGAACCAATGTCAAACGATTGCAACGTTCAGTGAAATCGGCGCGCACAAGTCCCAGGAGGTGCTTCGTTGAGGTAAGCAGTCGCCCCTTTGGGGGCCCTCATATATCCCGCACGTGTCTTGCCTGTGTTCCCCAATCCCCAGGTCCTCTGTATCGTTACATCTGTCGCTCTGATAGGGTACAGTTTGTGTATGTGTTTGGCTCGTGTGTGTTGATGTTTTGTCGCTGCTCGACACTCCGTCATAAGAGGGACAGCCGTCATGCTGCTAGTGCTGTGTTCGATTCGGCGAGGGCAGGTTGCTAACAACTGCTACTCTTTGACAATCGATAGGCACTTTTTGATTATGTATAACTGCATAGCTTGGTAATTAGCTCACGTAATAAGCATGACAGCCGAATGAATGCTCGGACATTTACAGGCCTACATGGACACTGCGGATTGTTGTCGGATTTCAGAGCGGTCACTTTCACCACCTCTCACTCTCCCCTCCCCACTCCCTACTGTGGACGTCTGCAAACCACACTGTTGGTCAACCGCAAGTCATGAATATTTCAACGTTGATTCAGGCCGCTTCAAGCCAATGAAAGCATGTCGCCATATAGATATACCGCCATAAATATTAGCTAGTCAAGTTCAGAGCTTCACAGGTGTTTTGAATGAGATTTTGTGAGATAATTATTCAAGTTACACAGATGCGCTGCCTTAATTTCTCATAAATCACGACCGTACTGCTAAATCACCCGGTGAATGTAGGCTAAATCAGAGAGCGTTTAACTTATTATGTGCGTAAATGTCTGCTTAAAGCTATCCTGATCCCACCTCTCATAAAGAATCTGAAAGGAGGGGCCGCCTTGGTCTCTCTCTAAAGTTCGGAATATGACGACTCATGCTTGCAGGGAGACCAAAGGCTGACCTCGTCTATGTATGTGCATTTGCAAGCATGTATGTATGTGTGTGTCCGCGTGTGTGTTGGCCCACTAATGGATTGGACAGCAGACGGATCTAAATGGCTGGGCAAAAAGCCAATCTCTGTCCAAACAGCGGCACCATCCGTCCACCGTCCACCACCTCTGCCGACAACAACCCGCTGCAGGGTGGTAAAAACGGCCGCCGGGGACGGTAGGGCGTTCTTCTCACTGCGCTCACCGCTACTGTGAGGCCTCGCGTGTAGCGCGGTGGAGGGGCCTGGGTCGCCAACGCAGTGTTTGCCATGCAGGCGGGGCTGAGTCATGTCCAGTCAGCCGAGCGGGGGGGGGGGACTCAATGGAACGGTCTTGGCCACATGACGTCGCGCTGACCTTTAGGACTGATCTTGACGGTTGACCTCGAGGGATGACCTGGGAGGCTGGCCTCTGGGACTGACCTCTGATTCTGGTCTCGTATTGACCTCTTGAGTTGACCTCGGTGGCTGACCTCGTGTCAAGTTCAAGGGGCCTATTTTGCAGGCTGATTTTTGATTGACCTCGTTGGCAGGCCTGTAAGCTAACCTCTCTATTGACCTCAGGGTACTGACCTCGGCCTCCCAGCCTGGGAACTGACCCGTCCCGGCCGGGTTCGGTTGCTCTCGCCGCGCTGCATATGTATGCCGCCAGTGGCCGGTCGGCAATGCGTCTTGGTTCGTCCTGTAACGTCTCGTATTTGGCCGGCCGGTACCGAGACCGACGGGCTGCTGACCAGCAATATTTTATCCTGTGCCCAGCCCCGAGAGGGTGCTATTTTAATTGGACTGCTTCTCGGTATGGTCGCATTGAGGATTAGCAGCTCCAGGAAGGTGTTTTATCCAGGTGTTGATGTGCTAGTGGGGCTCTCCGAACAATGATGCACTGCTGGATCATTGACAGAAGAAGATAACCACGTTTTGGCGAGGGGTAACATCGAATTTTTCTGAACGCCTATAACCCAGGACCTCTCAACGTCGGTGTTGGGTCTGCTGTTTCACTGGTACAACTTTGCTCTCCAGGAACTGCAGTGAATTGATCTCGTATGAAACGACACACCCACTGGTTCCGTGACTCGTTCTCCCAAACTCCTTTTGATTTCAAGCTGCTCATCTGAGCACCGAAATTACGTATTGTAAAGGAAATTGAAACAGGGCTGTGACGCCAGATCAGATATAAGCCTTGAATGTCAAACGAGCCGCAGCGTCCCCAGCAACAGGCGACGATATATGGGTG